GTGGAGCTGCGCGGGGTGAGAGGCGCGGGGAAGGGGGCTGCCTGCTGCCCTCGCCCTCGTCCCCCACCGGCGGGCCCCGGCAAGAATTCGGGAGCCAGGCGGCCAGGCTTTCTTAGTGCTCTGACATTTGGGGGGAACAGGTGAACCCGCCCGCCTACCCCTAACCCGCCCCGCCTGGACAGCTGAATCAGAGCGGACGACCCTGCCCTTTTAACGCTCCTGCTCCTGCGGAGGGCCCCCCAGCCATGGCCCTCAACAGTCCCCTAGAACCCACAGGGACTGCCCCCCATCCTGGCCGCCGGAGCCAGCCCTCTGCATCCCGCGGGCAGCCAGTGTGAAGCCGCCTCCTGCAGCCCCCGGCCCCTCCCCCATGGAGGAGGAGGAGGGGGGCGCGGCTGCCAAGGAGTGGGGCACGGCCCCCGCGGGGCCCGTCTGGACCGCGGTGTTCGACTACGAGGCGGCAGGCGAGGAGGAGCTGACCCTGCGGAGGGGCGACCGCGTCCAGGTGCTTTCCCAGGACTGTGCCGTGTCGGGCGACGAGGGCTGGTGGACCGGGCAGCTACCCAGCGGCCGTGTGGGCGTCTTCCCCAGCAACTACGTGGCCCCTGGCGCCCCTGCCACGCCTGTGGGCCTCAGGCTGCCCCAGGAGATCCCCTTCCACGAGCTGCAGCTAGAGGAGATCATCGGTGTAGGGGGCTTTGGCAAGGTCTATCGGGCCCTGTGGCGTGGCGAGGAGGTAGCCGTCAAGGCTGCCCGGCTGGACCCTGAGCGGGACCCGGCGGTGACAGCAGAGCAGGTGCACCAGGAGGCAAGGCTCTTCGGAGCCCTGGAGCACCCCAACATCATTGCCCTCAGGGGCGCCTGCCTCAGCCCCCCGCACCTCTGCCTGGTGATGGAGTATGCCAGGGGAGGCGCACTGAGCAGGGTGCTGGCCGGTCGCCGGGTGCCCCCTCACGTGCTGGTCAACTGGGCTGTGCAGGTGGCCCGAGGCATGAACTACCTACACAATGATGCCCCTGTGCCCATCATCCACCGGGACCTCAAGTCCATCAACAGTAAGTGGTGTCCTTCCCCCCAAAACTTGCTGCCACAGAACCATGTGAGGCCAAGCCTAGATGGTGGGAAATGGGGACACCAGAAAACCCAGCCTGGGGCAAGAAGGGGCAGCACTATACCTTTAGGGAGGCCTTGCCCCATTAAGGGAGGAAAGGGTGGCCCAGAAAGGCGGAAGGACTACCTGCCTCCCAGGCTAGAGTCACAGTAGCTCAATAAATGCATCAGTATGAACACTGTGACAGGCCCTGTGTTCCCAGCATGAACAGGACAGATGCAATGCCTGCCTTCATGATGTTTCTTGTCCAGCCAGCATGCCAGAGTCACACCAGGCAGAGACAGAACTCGGCCTGTAGTGAGAGTTTCTCAGCCTCGGCAGGGTGGTCATAGAGGGCTGTCCTGTGTTTAGCTTGTTTAGCAGCATCCTTGGCCTCTACCCACTAGATGCCATTAGCATTCCCTGCCCCCTCTCCTCCAGTTATGATAAGGAAAACTGTCTCCAGACATTGCCAAATGTCCCCTGAAGGGCAAAATTGCCCCCAGTTGAGAACCACTTCCTGGAGTCCTAAGCCTCTGCCCCAGCTGGCGGAGGCAAACTAGAGAAGATGAAGGAGGAGGAAAAGGGCCATATTTTACGAAAAGCTTCCAAGCTGCCAGGCCTATCACAGATTCTCAAAAGTCGATTGATTGTTGAATGAGGACTGAGGCCAGGTAGAGGGAAGGTTCCCCAGGACCCACACCTAGATCAAAGAGCATCTCATGACGTCAACGAATATTAATCGAGCACCTATTGAATAGGAACCAAACAGGGACCAGGATGGCCATGCCCTACTGATACAAACTAGAGATTTCATTCATTCCCTAGATATTTCTGGAGCGCCCATTGTATGTCCTGGGTCCTTAAGAGTATAGCAAGGGAAATCCCACCTTCCTGGCTCTCTTATCCTTCCTCTGCCCCATCTCATAAATCCGTGCATTTCCGCATTTATTTATTCTTTCATTTGGTATTTACTGGGCCAGATCATGTGCTAAGCTAGAGGAACCACTGGTGAATGAGACCAGCATGTTCCTTTCCCTTACATGAAGTGGGAGGGATTCTCCTTTGCCCTTGACTCTCACTTCTCATCTATTTATGATTCCTGTCAATTTTACATTTTGAAATTTATTTGAATCCATCTTTGCTGTGCCCCCACCACCACCTAGAACAAGGGCGTGTCTTCCTTACCTCCCAGGCCTGGCATTTGTACACTCAACAGAGAGCTCCCAACTGTCCGAGGCCTGCCAAGCCCTGAACCAGAGCTGGGGAATGGGGCAAGACAGACACAGATAGTCCTGCCTTCATAGATGCTCATGCCCTAGCTCCTCTGAAATGCTGGGTGAATGGAGGCAGGACTGCCAGCCTGCTCCTCTTGAAGGCTGGGGCCCCTTCTTGGCTCTTCCTCACCTCTGCTGATTCACAGCCTGCAAGTGGGGTATAAGGACAGCACTCCCACGCCCCCAAGTTTTTCTGTAGCCAGTGCCACCTGGACAAAAAGTTGGTGGAACTCCTTAGGCCAGACTTTCTGCTGTTTCATGCCTGAGACAGAGGACACAGGGTGTCCACAGCACAGCTTCCTCCAGTCACCTTTCCCCAAGGAGCTCATCATCTGGTGTCACTCATTCATTGGTTCATTCAACCAGTAATTCTTCTTCTTTTTTTTTTTTTACACCTACAGCACGTGGTCTTCCTAGGTGGTCTCCCATCCAAGTACTAACCAGGCCTGACCCTGCTTAGCTTCCGAGATCAGACAGGATTGGGCTTGTTCAGGGTAGCATGGCTGTAGACTCAACCAATAATTCTTAAGCAAATTAAGTATACTAGGCTCTGTTCCAGGCTCTGAGATTACAGACGTGAACGAGGAACGGTGCCCCCCTTATGGGAGTTACAGTCTAGTGATCAGAGAATAGAGAATATGTGATTGATATTTAGATGGAGAGATAACAAAATTTCCAGAGAGCATCAGGGGCTCTGACGGAAATAAAGCAGATTAAGGATGGGACAGAGATATCTCTACAGCAGATGGTCAGGGAAGGCAACATTTGAGCAGAGACCTGAACAAAGAGGACCCAGCCTTACAGAGACGTGGGCAGGGGAAAGGATGTGAGGTGGCAATGAGTGTGCCTTGCTGGAGAAACAGCAAGGGGAGGAGTGAGGCAGAGATGGAAGGAGATGAGGTCGGAAAGGTAGGCAGGGGCCAGATCACGAGCTTCGGGGCTCCAGTGAGGACTTTGGGCATTTTCTACAGTGTAGTGGAGGCCAGTAGAGGGTTTTAAGCAGGGGGCAACATGATCAGATTTATATATTATAAAAGGAACTGATTTAGGCCCAGCCTGGGAGATGCAGAAACAAAATGTAAGACCATGGGGTCACTCCACAAACAGGAGAGGTGGGGACTCAAGAAAGGAGGACTTCTGGGAGGTAGAGTTAGGCTAGAGAGTCACAGAGGCTTCCAGGAAGAGGTGGCATTCGAGTCAGGCTTTAAAGATTGGACAAGATTACTAACTGTGACCTTGAGCAATATATCCGATCTTGCTAACCCTGGGTTTCTTCATCTGCCAAATGAGCATCATAGTAGAATTATCTCATTATTATTGTGAGTGCAGAAGTAGCTGAGAATGGTCAAAGATAACGGTGGAGAAATAAGGAACAATTATGGCAACATTACACGCTAATAATAATATCTAACACTTTTAAAGGACCTACTGTTGCTTCAGGCAATAAATCTCTGCTACAACCGTATAAGGTAAATACTATTATCTCCATTTAACAGAAGAGAAATCTTAGTGTTAGGAAAAATAAGTTATACAGGGTTATACAGCTAATAAATGACAGAGCTGGGGTTCAGACCCAAGCAGGACACTGTACACTTTGGGGCCTCTGATGAAAGTAGTAGAATATATCAGTTAAAAGATTGGACTCTGACAACAAATGTGGTTCAGGTCTTTACCCCACTTTTTGCAGGCTGTGTGATCTTAGTCAAGTGACCTCATGTCTCTGAGCCTCAGTTTGCTAGTCAACAAAATGAGTAGTTTGCTAGATAATTTCATGTAAAGGACTTATCACTGTGCCTGCCACATAATAGTCTCCTGTTAAACACCAGCCAGGATTATTATTGTTAGTGACCGTAGGCAGCAAGTAAGCTGGAACCATTCAATGTGCTTGGGGGATATATCAGTCATATTTTGTCACAATAGTGTTGTGTAACAAACCGTCCCCAAAACTCAGTATCTTCAAACACCGTGACATTTATTAATGCTCATACATTTGCAGGCCAGCTGGAGGGTAAACTGATTTAGGTGAGACTCAGCTGGAAAGGCTTTACTCCGTGTATCTCTCGTCTTCCTTAGACCAGCGGTCCCCAGGTCCCCAACCCTTTTGGCACCAGGGACCGGTGCTCCTATGAGAATCCCATGCCTGATGATCTGAGGTGGAGCTGAGGCCGTGATGCTGGCGCTGGGAGTGGCCGCAAATACAGATGAAGCTTCGCTCTCTTGCTCACCTGCCGCTCACCTCCTGCTGTGTGGCCCGGTGGGGGGGGGGGGGGTTGGGGTCCCCTGCCTTACGCCATCTGGCTAGGCAAGGCACGTTCTCCTGGTGATGGCAGAAGGGCAAGAGGGCAAGCAGGCAGGCAAGGCCTCTTAAGGCCTCGGCTTGGATCCGGCACTCTCACTCCTGCCTCATGCTGTTGGCCAAAGCCAGTCACACGGCCAACCACAGTAAAGGATGGAGAAACGCGCTCTGCCTGTTTAGTGCAAAGACCTGCAAAGTCACGTGGCAGAGCGCGACAAAGAAAGGAGGAGAATTGGGGCCGTGAGTGCAGTATACCACAGGGGATGACAGACAAAGGAAACCCCGTTCACCCCTTCTCATGGATTCTAGTTCCCACTCTGGGGAGGCTGAGAATTCAGAGCCTAGACTAAGGAGAACCAAGGCCTTGGCCATCAACCTTCCACTTAGTTCCCCGGAGCCCAGGTTGGAGTCAGGGGGGCAGAGGATGCAGGGGGAGCTCCCCGCCCCTGGGAGAGAACGAGGAGCAGCTTGCATTTGAGGCGGGGGCAGGACACATGCTCTGTGCCCCAGCAGGTCTGGGGTGACCTACCTTTCTTCCTACCCCACAGTCCTTATTCTGGAGGCCATCGAGAACCACAACCTCGCAGACACGGTGCTCAAGATCACGGACTTCGGCCTGGCCCGCGAGTGGCACAAGACCACCAAAATGAGCGCTGCGGGGACTTACGCCTGGATGGCCCCGGAGGTTATCCGTCTCTCCCTCTTCTCCAAAAGCAGTGACGTCTGGAGGTGCTGATGGTGGGGCTGGGGAGGCCTCCTGAAAATGAGGGCGGGAGGAGCGGGTGAGGGCAGAGTGGGAGGGACAGTCTCCCACTGAAGCCAGGGGCCGGGCCTGGCAAAGGGACCTGCCAGCAAGGTCAGACTGGTCATCAGACAGGCCTCTAAACAGGTGTCTGCTAGCAGAAGTGGCAGCTGAAGAAGTCTTGAATTATAGCAAAAACTTCCAAAGATGTAGAGCTAGAATGTCAGCATTAAAGGCCCCTCAGACTCCATTCGATACACTGCCCCCGCTTGTTGAACAGAAAATTGAGGCCTTTTGTGGCAACCATTCATTCATTCATTCATCCAACTATGTGGGGCGCCAGGGATACAGTAGTAAATAAAAATAGGCACATCTCTGCTTGCAGGGGTAGTAAGTAAATTCATACACAAGAAGCTGAAAGAACCTGTTTTTAAGTTATAAAATAATGTTTAAAAGGTAATCCACCAAAAAAAGTATTAGTGTTACAAGCCCGGTTGATGGAGGGCTGGAGGATGGCTTTGCAAAAGGCTTTTCTGAGAAGCGATACTTGAACTGAGTTCTGGATGATAAGGAGACAGACTCTCATGGAGAGTTTGGGGGAAAGAAGCTTCCCAGGCAGAGGGAACAGCTGGCACAAGGGAGGTACTGAGGTGAGAACGAGCTTGGTGTGTTCTAGAAACAGCTACAAGGGCCCATGTGGCTGGCTGGAGCAGGCAGGAGATGACATAGTGGAGGGAGCTAGAGGGCCGCACAGAGGCGACTCTGGACTCGGCTATATTCTAAGTGCAATAGAAGGCCATTAGAGGCATTTATGAATGACGTGATCTGATTCAGCATTATCGCATCCAGCATTACCGGCTGTTTGGTGGAGAATGGGCTATGGGGGAAGGAGGGGGCGGGAGGCCAGGGAGGAGGCTATTGCCATTGCCACTGAGTCTTGATGGTGGCAGCAAAATTCTTCAAATCAGGGCCTCCTGCTAGGGAAGAGCCAAACCCAGATCATTCCCCAGCCAAGGCTGCAGATTGACCAAGCAACAGGGCCATGGCTTTTGGGCAGACAGGTCAGACGGGAAGTCACCTAGAGCAGCAAAGCCCTTTGGGGGAGGTCCCGACTGGCTTCACGTCAGGCGTTCATTTGTGGTTCCAGGCGTTTAGTGGAGCCATATTTCAGCAGCAAGGAACAGAAACCCCAAAATGAAAACAAGACTGAAGTTTCTGCTCCTATGTAAAGCTCAGGACTGATAAGGTGCCCCCAGCATTAGGGACTCAGGGTCAAGATTCCTTAACAGGGGTGTTATTGGGCAGGATACTTCTTCCTTGTGCAGTACTATCCTGTGCTTTTCAGGACAGAAGTATCCATGGTCCCCAGGCTTCAAACATCAGCAGCACTCCCTAGTCATTGTGACAATCAAAACATCCCCACAGGTTTCCAGGGATGTGGGAGAGGTGAAGGATCATGCCACCTCTAGTTACAAGCCATTTTAGCTTCCTCCACCTCGTATGGTCTCCATTCGCAAGTTCACGTCATGGTCCAAGAAGCTGCTTGAGCTCCAGCTTTTATGTCCACATTCCAACCAGTAGGAAAGAGAAAAGAGGAAAGGGCATCCCTACCCTCTAAGGACACTTCCTGTGTTCTTGCATACTACACACCCTCCTTCGTCCCACTGGCCAGAGCAGTGGTCATATGGACATACTTAGCTGCAAAGGAATATGGGACATTATTTCAGGCAGCATATGCCCCGCTCCAGTTCACCAGCGCTGTCACTGAGAATGAGGGCAGGGCTTGTGTCTGTTCGTTGCCTAGAACGGTGTCTGGGACGGAGTGGACACTTAATAGGTAGATGTCGAATGAATGCATGAGTGGACACGGGGGGCATGGGGCTCTGCTACACATTAGACACTGCACACAGTGGCGATCAGGATCCAGAAGGAGCATAGTTAACTGGAGAAGATGGACACGCAGGTGACGGTAGCACAGCGATGCAGGCTCTGGTGTTGTGTAGCCGTTAAGGCACTGTCATGGGCATCAGGCAGACTGAGGCCAAGTGTAGCTCCACCACCACTTATTAGCTGTGTGACCACGGACAGGCAACGTAACCTCTGTGGGCCCGCACCTGCTCGTCAGGTAAAATGGGGCTCGCAGCGGTACCTTCTGCCTTCCGAGGCTGTTGCGAGGATTACTGAGTGCCTAGCACGGGGTTGGCCTGGCCTCAAGTAAGTGCTTTATAAATGTTAACTAGTGTTAACTTGTCTTTAGAGGTTAAGTGCCAGAGGTTCTGTGGGAGCATACAGGAGGGGCCTCTAACCCAGGTTTGGAGACTGGAATCAAGGAAGGCCACCTGGCAGAGGGGCACCTGAGTTGAAACTTAAGGGACAGTTGCACAAAGGGAAGGGTTTTCTCACCGAAGGGAACAGCATCTGCAAAGGTCAGAGGTTAGGAAGAACCTCAGTGTAGCTGCAGGATGCAGCTGGGGTTGGCACAGGGGCTGAGAGCGCTTAGAGGTGAGGCTGCAGAGGTCATCAAAGGTCAGGGCTAAGAAGGGTAGATTTGCCCAGGGGACGAGGGACAGAACAAAAGTGAGACTAGAGAGCAACCCCACCACATCTATTTGAGATCAGGCCATTGGAGGTCGCATCAGGTTCTGGTGGCCTCCTCGGCCAAGGCTGGGTGTTGGGGTGAAGGAGACCCACCATGGGACCAGAGGCAGGACTGGGGTACAGGACTGTGGCTGGGTGTTGGGGTGAGGGACACCCACTATGGGACCGGAAGCAGGACTGGGGTACAGGCCAGGGTTGGGGAGGGCTGTGGCCTCACCCCTCCCTCTTCCCCACCTGCAGCTTCGGGGTGCTGCTCTGGGAGCTGCTGACGGGTGAGGTCCCCTACCGTGAAATCGATGCCCTGGCCGTGGCGTATGGTGTGGCTATGAACAAGCTGACGCTGCCCATCCCCTCCACGTGCCCCGAGCCCTTTGCCCGCCTCCTGGAGGGTGAGCCAGGGCCCCGTGGACAGGGCAGGCTCAGCTTGGGGTGGCAGGGGTCCTGGAGCCCAGACCTCGCCCCTTTACACCCATGCATACCGCCGGGCCCCGGACTGAGGGAGAGGAGCCGGACCCATCAGACCACGAACGGTTCCCCCCACACAGCCGGCTCCTCGGCCCCCTGACCCTTGCCCTGGCCAGGCCTCCAGCTCTGAGGGCAACCCGTCAGGGTTCACTGGCCCTAGGATTCTTCCTCCGCCCCTGATCCTGCCACCAGTCAGGGAGCGGGTCTGGGGGTTTCTCCCTCAGAGTGTCACCAACCGGAGTAACGCCAGGAATTTGGCTTTGGATCCCTTCCCCTCGCCCCGCGGAAGCTGTCTGTCCACAGTCCCCTGAAGTCCTGCCTTCCACTGAGCAGGCCGAGGCCCCAGAGCAGGGCCGCTGACATCTCCACTCCCCCTGCCCCCTAGAATGCTGGGACCCAGACCCCCATGGGCGGCCCGATTTTGGCAGCATCTTGAAGCAGCTTGAAGTCATCGAACAGTCAGCCCTGTTCCAGATGCCACTGGAGTCCTTCCACTCACTGCAGGAAGACTGGAAGCTGGAGATTCAGCACATGTTCGATGACCTCCGGACCAAGGAGAAGGTGAAGGCAGGGGCAGGGCAGAAGGGGGAGGGATGGAGCAAGACCCCTGAGTTCCCATACCTTGGGTGGCGTATTTCCCCTGAGCCCGGAGTTTGGGGTCCATGCAGGGCCAGGGGAGCCTTTTTTGCATATTAAGAAAACACAGCCTCCTGTTGGCCGATGCGTAAGAAAGAGGCACTCTGCCCTGAAGCACTTACGAGTGATACCGTAGGACGCCAGAGGCTGGTGTTTAAGTTCAGCAGCAAAATGAGTGAGAGAGAAGGAAGGGGCTGCATGCAAAAAGGATTCGCAAAGTATAGGTAACTGTTGGATGATGGGCAGATGGGGGCGCACTATTCTCTCTCTGCTCTTGTGGATGTTCGAAGCGTTCCAAATTGAAGAGTTGAAAAATTAAAAATCAAAGAAGGAAAAAAAAGGCACCCTTTCCCTAGGCCAACATAGACCCCTGCCCTGGCATCCAGCTTGGCTAGTGAAGTGTGAGTTGGATCGTGCCCCCAGTTTGCCCCACAGCAGGACGCCCCTGTTCCGGGCCCCAGCCCGACCCAGCAGCCCTGGGGCCCGCCCCGGAGCAAAGGAGTTAAGCCCCGCCTCGCAAGCCTCCCTTCCCCTCTCCAGGAGCTCCGCAGCCGGGAGGAGGAGCTGCTGCGCGCGGCGCAGGAGCAGCGCTTCCAGGAGGAGCAGTTGCGGCGGAGGGAGCAGGAGCTGGCCGAGCGCGAGATGGACATCGTGGAGCGGGAGCTGCACCTGCTCATGTGCCAGCTGAGCCAGGAGAAGCCCAGGGTCCGCAAACGCAAGGGCAACTTCAAGCGCAGCCGCCTGCTCAAGCTGCGGGAAGGCGGCAGCCACATCAGCCTGCCCTCTGGTACCCATCTCGTCCCTTGAGCATCATCACCCAAGAGGCCACATTGGGAGCATCCCGAACCCAGGGTTTATTGCTTCCCTTTTTTTTTTAACTTTTTTTTTTAGTAAATATATCACACACAGAAAACAACCAAAAAACTATACAGCTTAAGGAGTTAGTATAATCACCCCCGTGAAAGCAGAGAGAACATAGAGCCTGAAGTTGCCCTCCACATGCCCCCTGCAACCCCTTGCCACACCCTAAGAGTAACCCTGTCTTGACTTTCAGGGCAATTACTTTCTTACTTTTCTGTATACTTTTGTCTCCCAACTATTTGCTTCATATATTTTAATCTGCCTCTTTTTCCCCCCTGATCAAAAATTTGTTGAGGATACATCATTTATGCTGTAGCATTTCCCACAGCCTGGATTTTGCTGCCTGCATCCCCTAGTATTACGTCAGACATCCCTATGTCCCTGGAATTTCCTATAAATTGGTATTAGGTTAAACCATATAAAATTGTTGGTGTTTAGTCATTTTTGACCTACCGTAAAACAGAATTTTCACACGGATCTTAAGCCTTAATGAGTTCCAAGGTCGGGTTTGATTTTTGTTGTTTTTGGCAGACCGCTCCCTAGGTAATGTCAGAATGCACATCGTGCCGGTCGTCTCTCTCTGTGACATTACAGCCATAGAGTGATGCCTCGAACAGCACCAGCCTACAGTGCAAGTCACACGTGAAGTTTTAAACTTTCTAATAGCTATATTAAAAAGAGGAGAAAGAAACAGGTGAAATTAATTTTAATAAAATATTTCGTTTAGCCCAGTTTATCCAAAATGCTATGGTTTCACATGTAATCAAGAAAAGAAATTGTTAATGAGATATTTTACCTTCTTCAACACTAAATCTTTGAAATCCAGTGTGTATTTTATATTTACAACACATCTCAATCTGCTAACTTTTCATCAAAAGTACTCGACGTGTATTTAGAGTCCATAAAATTTACAGTTGAAAATGTAGATTCATACACCCAGTTGTTCCAAACATGCTTAACTGTTTCTGATGACTGAACCGCATATCTGTTTTTAAAGGTAAACTTTAATTAAGGCAATACTCCCAATTCCTCGGTAGCACAAGCCACATTTCAGGTGCTCAGTTACCACATGTGGACAATCAGGTCTAGATCCTTAGCAAGGGCAGCAGCTCAAACCTGAGCTTGCATCAGAGGTACCCAGAAGGCTCGTCCCACCAGAACTGCCGAGTTGGGGAGAGCCGGAGAATGTGCATTTCCAGGAGGTTTGCACTTGTTGATGTTGCTGGCTGGGGACCGCACTTTAAGAACGCGTGAAGGAAATGCGGAACGGCAGCAGTCCGTCTATACTTCTCTAAAGGGGACTTCTCAGGTCGGCCATGGAACTATTTGCTTAGGAAAGTCTCTCTGTTTTGCAGGATTTGAGCATAAGATCACAGTCCAGGCCTCTCCAACTCTGGACAAGCGGAAAGGATCCGATGGGGCCAGCCCCCCCGCAAGCCCCAGCATCATCCCCCGGCTGAGGGCCATTCGCTGTGAGTATCTCCCACGGCCCTGACCAGTCCATCGGTCGGCAGACTTCTCTGAGCACATACTGTGCACCGAGCCAGAGGACCAGCAGGGAACAAGACAGGCAGGGTCTCCTCGCTCCTTCCAATCTGGGAGAAACAAGCAATACACAAGTCAGTACGCAGAATAATTTCCAGTAGTGACAAGCACTGTAAAGGAAATCAGGGAAGGAAATAAAAGAGAAGCGTTGCCATCTTACATCGAGAAGGCCTGCCTAGGGAGCTGCGGTTTGAGCGGGGACCTGCCTGGTAAGGAGGAGCGAGACACGTGGCGATCTGAAGGACGGGTGTCCCTGGCAGAGGGAGCAGCAAAGGCAAAGGCCCAGAGGTAGGAACAAGCGTGGTGTGTTCATCAGCCCCGAAGGCCACCTTGGCAGTAATAGAACGAATGGGAGGCAGAGCAAGCAGTGGGTTTGTGGTCGGGGGTTCCACAGGGGCCTGATCACTCCAGGACTCTGGGACAAGGAGTCTAGATTTTATTTGGAAGGTGATGGGGGAGCCCCTGGAGGGCTGCGAGCAAGGCAGTGATGTGATAAAATGTACCCGTTCCCTCTGGCAGTTGTGAGGAGCGTGGACAGGAGGAGGGCGGGCGTAGGGGCAGGAGACTGGGGACTGGCCTGGGGTAGGGCCTCGGAGGGGAGATGGCCACATCCAGGCTGTCTGGCAGAGGTGGAGCCACTGGGGTTTGCTGATGGGTAAAGGATACGGGCCTGACTCCCAAGTCTGTTCTGCACCTTCATTCACCCCCAGCCTTGCCCCACACGCTGCCCCGCCCCCCTGCACACCTCTGTTGGGTACCAGCTTTGTACCAGGCAGAGAAGTCATTCTCATGAGGGACACAGAGACAAATAACAGCTGAACAGTGGTAGTCAATACTGGTATTAGGGTGCATTCAAAGTGTGACAGGAATGGAGAAGACTGACTCCAGGGAACAAACTACCCCAGAGCTGGAGGCTGAAGGGGCAAGCAGCCAACCAGGCCAGGAAAGGGGCTGAAATGGAGCAGAATCCAGTGAAGGGAATAGCACGGAGGTGTGAAAAGGACCATCTACAGGTCTTTGGGGACCTGTAGATGCGGGGCCCCGACCATGGCACTCATGCCCTCTGCCCGGGATCCCAGCTCTACCCCGCTCCCTCCACACCAGCCACGCTGGCCGCCTGGCTGTCCCATGCCCTCTCAGGCTATCCCGCCCCAGGGCCTTGGCATTTGCCGTCCCCTCTGCCCAAAATGCTCCTCTCCCTTGTGCCTATCCAACTCACTCCCTCACCTCCCCAAGTCTTCGCTCAGATTCCTCCTCCCCTGTGGAGCTTCCCTAACCTCAGGCCTAGTGTTCCCCACAGCACTTACCGCCTTCTAATGCCTGCACAGACGACTTACCCAGTATGAGTCTTGCTGATTGTCTGTCTTCGCCCACTGAACTGCCAGCTGCCAGGGCAGGGGCTTTGTCTGCTTCGTCCACTGCTGTCCTCTAAGCACCCGCCACGGGGCTTGGCGCAGAGCAGGTGCTCAGTAAACACGGGGATGAATGGACGGTCGAAGGGTTAGGGTTGAGGAGTGATGGAGATGAGGCTGAGGAAGTCAGCTGGGAATAACATGAAGGGCCTCAAATGCCAGGCCGAGGAGCTGGAGCATTGTCCTGACAGCAGCGGGCAGCTGTGGAAGGGTTTAGAGCAGGGGAGGGTCATGACTGGAGTTAGAATCCAAGATCCTCCGGCTTCCAGGTGGAGGAGGAATCCAAGGTGGGAGTGAGGCTGGGAGCCCAGCGGGGACAGACTCTCCAAGACCCAGTAACCGAGTGGCTTCTCTCGGCGCAGTGACTCCTGTGGACGGTGGCGGTGGCCCCAGCAGTGGCAGCAGCAGTGGCGGCAGTGGGACGTGGGGTCGCAGTGGGCCCCCAAAGAAGGAAGAACTGGTTGGCGGCAAGAAGAAGGGCCGGACCTGGGGGCCCAGCTCCACGCTACAGAAGGAGCGGGCTGGAGGGGAGGAGAGGTAGGCGGCTACCCTGCGCCCACGCCCCACCCCTGAGCCCCGCACTCCACCCCTGAGCCCAGGGCCCCCAGAAGGCCCATGAACCTCCCCCCACCATTTGGTTCCCCCTGCAGGCTGAAGGCCCTGGGGGAAGGAAGCAAACAGTGGTCATCAAGCGCTCCCAACCTGGGCAAGTCTCCCAAACACACCCCCATCGCCCCAGGCTTCGCCAGCCTCAATGAAATGGGTAAGACAGGGAGGGCGCCTTCAGAGGAGAGGGGAGAGGACATTCCCTGGCCTAAGGGGACCCTAACACAAGACAACACAGTGATCGTTCCCCACGGTTGTGGGGAGGAAGCCAGATTTCTGGGTCAGAGCGTAGGTGGCGTTCCTGGAAAGGGGGACAGTGGTCCCTGGAGTGGGGGCATCACTCCCAGGTTCAGGGTTGGAAGGGGATGGATTCTAGAACTATGCTTAGCCGACTTGGTGCCGCTGTTGGAGGGGTCACTGGGGACAGCCCTTTGCCTCCAAGTCCCAGAGGCCCCGGGGCCACGGGTACCCAGAGTCGAGTGCCGCCCTCTCCCGCTTGCAGAGGAGTTCGCGGAGGCTGACGGAGACAACAGCGGGCCCTCCTCGCCCCACAGCACCCCTGCCTG